CCTCCCAACCCACTGTTGATCTCCAGTCTCCTCTTTTTAAACTTCAGACCATGTTCAGAGCAGAGTATTTTAAGTTGCTGCTCCCTAACGTATAGATTATTATAACTGACATCAAGAGCAGAGAGTGAGAAATTCAGACTAATTTGTTTTGTACAAATGCTCAGAGTTGTGCTAAGGAGACACATATTTGTCTGACCTTCCCATGCATGAGTCCATCCTTCTAAAAGGAATGTCACTGGGATATGACAGAAGAAGAGCTTGATAACAACACACAGGACAAGCTTTGCTTAAGGACGTGTTACTGGCTAAACCTTCCTTCATCATAAAACCAGCCTCATCTCTCCTGTGTCTCCCACGACTTTCTCCCCAGAATCAGCCCACATCTAGCCCTCGGTCGTTGCCTAAAGCCCCAAATTTTGGGTGTCCCTTGAAAAATCACATCTAAGTAAAGAGGGTCATCAAATACCTCTGGACGATATTTTTAGGATAATAAGAGTGGAAGCAGTATGAGTTGATTCACAAGTTAATGTCTTATCTTTTTATTTTTTTGAGTTGGAGTCTCACTCCATCGCCCAGGTTGGCTGGAGTGCAGTGACACATTCATGACCACCACAGCCCCCACCTGCTGGGCCAGGCGATCATTCTGCCTCAGCCTTCCACGTAGCTGAAACTACAGGCGCGCGCCACCATGGCTGGCTAATTTTTGATTTTATTGTAGAGACGAGGTCTTGCCAAGTTGCCCGGGTTGGTCTTGAACCCCAGGGCTCAGGCGGTCCTCTCGCCTCCACCTTCCAAAGTGCTGGGATTTCAGGGGTGAAGTGTGCCCAGCCTCCCAAGTTAATGTTTTAAATACAGCCTCTTCTGCTCTGACACTGCCATTGCCTTCACTTGCCAAGTTGTCGGTGGTCCAGCTTGCCCTTGGGCTCCTCCCTTTCTTGGGACTGCCCACACAGGTCACAAAGGGATGGAGGTGAGACGGTCAGAGGACTTCAGCACAAACAGGCCTGGCCTGGGCACCACTCACTGACTCTTAGCTTCCTCGTCCATCCAGTGAGTGAATTAGTCTAGAAAGTCTCTAAAACACCGTCTAGCTCTAAAAGTACATCCGAGATGTAAAAATTTATAGAGAGAGCAAATAAAAACCTCGAACAGCGAGCTGGCCTGGAATTCTTAGAGCCGAAGGGTGTGAGACTCTCGGCTGATGTTTGTCCAGTGAAGTAATGTTGTCTTAGTGGTCTCAGGACTCACAAAGGCAGACACAGCAAACAAAACCTAAGCTCAATGATTTAGTTTCCTACTTCTCTGTAGGCTGGGTCCAGAATCAATATAATGGGGAAAGCTGGGAATTTATAAACGGGTTGCATCTGTTCTTCAGACAGTCAAAAATTCAGGACCCCCAAATTTGGATAAATCCGTGTCTTCCATGATACCTCACCGTGGACTGTGCAGCTTTACTGCTGCACACACTACTCTTGGCTGGGCTAAAGGGAATTTTGGCAACGTAAATATTCATTTTCATGGGGAAACTCTTTGGGTGATTACACATTTCCTGTTACTCTTCAGAGGGGCAAAATCCTCGCAGCCTTTCAAGTTAAACCCAGACATAGAACATCTGATGATTTGCTCCAGCTTGTCTTCAAGACTTGAGTCCTGTGTGTGAAGCTGCTGACAGCTGTTCTCAGGAACCCAGGGTACTGGGTGTGAAATCACCTGGTTGTCGGTGTGACTTTGAGTCATCTCCTCAATAGTGGCAAGGATTCCTTCACGTGGCCGGCTTTGGGAACTGCGGGACATGGAAACCAGTTCACTTTATCCAGGCCTGGCTGTCCGCGAAGAAACAGAAGATGCAGAGAAATACAACTTCACATAAAGACTCTTGAAGGGTCTACCCGGCTAGGAGGCCCCAAAACATGTTTTCAAGCCCTGCTCTTGCCCAAACATGGGGGTAGATCCCACAGACTGCCCTCACCTTAGCATCTTCACCACAAGGAAGTGCCAGGTGGGAGCAAGCCCCACCTGGCCCACCTGAGGGGGTGGCCAAGTCAGGGTTCCTGTGGTCAGTGCACCTGGCAAAGTAGCAGACCGTGGCGTTCTCTGCTGTAAGAGCCACAAGAGACATGAGCTTACCGACAACCCTGCGCTGTATAGTAGAAAGAGAAAGGGATAGGACAGGAGGCAGAGAGAGAGAACAAGAAGGGGAGGGGAAACCTGTTTTCTTTTTTCACATAGCATTTTTTTTTACTTTTAATTTTTTTATTTTGTTTTTGCTTTTGTTTGTTTTTTTTGACTTGGAGACTCACTCCGTTGCCCAGGCTGGAGGGCAGTAGCATGCTCCCGGCCACCACAGCCTCGACCCGCTGGGCTCTGGCAATCCTTCCACCTCAGCCTTCCAAGTAGCTGGAACTACAGGCACGCGCTATCACGCCTGGCTAATTTTTGACTTATTGTAGGGACGAGGTCTCGCCATGCTGCCCAGGCGAGTCTCGAACCTGCGGGCTCAGACAATCCACTCACCTCAGCCCCCCAAAGCACTGGGATTACAGGCTGAGCCACCAAGCCCTGCCAATTTTTTTATTTTAAAGATGTAGGGTACAATTCAGGGTTAGGTATACAAATGTCCATTATGCAGGGGCGCTTGTGGATGAGGTGTGCTCCCCCCTTCCCCAGGCAGATTTCTGCTACTGCCAATCACGCTTCCCCACCCCCCTCCCGGCAGTTTCCCACTATTGCCAATCCATTTCCTACAGTATTATGATCATTGTTCAAGGTCTGCTCATGAGTGAGAACATGTGATAGTTCTCTGTTTCTGTGACGGATCAACAGTATGATAGACTCTGAATCTATCCAGGTTTCTGCGAAGTTCATGATTTTGTTCCTCTTTATGGCTGCGTAATATTCCATCATGTATGTGTACCACATGTTTTTCATCCAGTCCTCTTTCGATGGGCAACACGGTTGGTTCCATGTTCTTGCTATTGTGAACAACGCTGCAGTAAACATATATCACACAGCATTTTTCTAAAAATTATTTAGCCTCTGAACTATTTAGTATAAAACATCAAATCATGCTGAATCAGGGTTCAGCAAATGCTCCTGCATGGAAAATATCGGAGCAGATGATCCCTGAAGTCATCCTAAGTCTAAAGACCCTAAGTCCTGTTTATGTATCTTCTTTTTTTGTTGTGTGTTTATTTTTATTTTTGAATCAGAGTCTCATTCTGTTGCCCAGGATAGAGTGCACTAGCATGCTCACGGTGACCATAGCCTCGACCCGCTGGGCTCAGGCAATCCTTCCGCCTCAGCCTTCCAAGTAACTGGAACTACACGTTTACGTATCTTCTAAAGTCCAATTCTGATCATGTCCTTCCCAGGCTCAAAATCCCTCCATGGCTCCCACTGGGCTGTAGAGTTTGTGCTCTGGAACGCGGCATTCAGACAGAAGCTTTCCAGGCGTGGTTCCTTTCCTTCTTTTCACCGTCTCTGCTCCTCCCAGACTGGGCTCCCTGCTCACCCCCACATTTCTGTGGCTCCCCCAAACTGGGCCCTGCACATGCTACTCTTTCCAGGTAGAATGCCTTTCCAGTCTCGGCCTGCACAAATGCAGCTCACTCTAAATACTTGGCTCAAAGCAGTCCCCTCCGTGGCGATGCCGTCCTCTAAACTTGTCTTCTTGAAAACTTAGTTAAAACTCTACACTGGACATAGTAGTGGCTTCTTGTATAGAATTATCTGGGTGTAATATTCCCGTATACTCCTTGGAAGAGCGGCTTTGTCTACTGTTGCCTGTTTCCATGTTTCTTGCACACAGAGGTGTTTATCAAAGAGAAGACTCTGAAGGGTGAATGACTGATGAAATTAAACAGGAAACCCTTTCCAGACAGGAGGTTTGGTGGGGGTCTGCTCTGGTCCTGCCATCAGCACATGGGGACTTCTCTGCTGAGAGCTCAGTGTGCTAGGAGGGATGGGCAGGGCTGCTGGCCTTAGGGACAGACATTCTGAGAGTCTCTTGATTTCTAATCCATTTCCCAAGAACAAAGAGATGTCACTACAGGGTTAAGAACACTGTGAAACAGAGCAATGGATGACAAGAAAGAAAAGAGACCATTTGCATTTTAATAGGGAAGAAATACTCTAAAAAAAAGACTTTCCAACACTAGACTGAGTGACTAAGAGAAACTTGTTTTTTTGGTTTTTTTGTTGTTGTTGTTGTTGTTTTTTGAGTTGGAGTCTCACTCCGTTGCCCAGGCTATGGTGCAGCGGCATGCTCATGGCCACCCCAGCCTCTACCTGCTGGACTCCGGTGATCCTTCCACCTCAGTCTTCCAAGTAGCTGGGACTACAGGTGCACACCACCACACCTGGCTAATTTTTGATTTATTGTAGAGATGACGTCTTGCCAAGTTGCCCAGGTGGGTCTTGAGCCCGCAGGCTCAGGCAATCCACACACCTCAGCCTCCCAAAGCGCTGGGATTACAGGATGAGCCACTGAGCCCGGCCCAGAGAAACTTGTTTTTAAAGTCAGGAAATCACCTGCATTCTCCAATCTGTTCACCTAATTACTACTTTATAAACACTTACTTGGGGAAAAAAAAACAGACCCACAAGAAAACCCTAGTTCCCTCATGCCATGGTTATCAAACTGTGCCACCCAGGTCAGATGCCTCGGCATCACCTGGACCTTTTCTAGAAACACAGGTTCTCGGTGCCCACGCCATACCTCTTGCCTCAGAACTGGTGCATGGGGCTCGGGAGTCTGTTTCCACAAGGCCTCCAATGATGCTGGTGCACACTACAGTTTGTACTTAATTGCATTTGGAGCTACCTAGGACAGCACCATGTCTGTGGACTGGTTTCTTCTCACTCCAGTCTGAAATCACCACTACACAGCTCACTCCAGAATGGGGTGATGACAGATGCTTCGGATCTCTTGACTTTGACTGCGGCCAGTTCTGCCACCTAGCTATCCGCTCACTCATTAAAACCTGCCCCATCTCTTACAGCGGATCAAGCAGATCCCTGCAAATTCCTGGCCTGCGGTGAGTTCGCCCAGTGTGTCAAGAACCAGCGGACCGAGGAAGCAGAGTGTCGCTGCAGACCGGGCTACGAGAGCCAGCAGGGCCGGGGCCACCTGGAGCCAGGACCCTGTGCCCCTGTCCTGCAGGAGTGCCGAGGCCACCAAGGACAGGGGACTCCATGCAGGTAGGTCAAGCAACCCAAGAACTCATCACCCATACTTCCAAGCAATCCTTCGTGAGAGTGCATTCATATGGCTCTGTGAGAAATGAACTCACCTGTCCAAAATCAAAGGACGGTCATGGAGACATGGAATGCAGCAGAAATGAAACTTTAATGACATTCTTGCAAAATCGGGTGTCTGCTGGGTAGGCACACCCAGAGCAGTTACAGCAAGCAATTTGTGCCCTAGTGTGCAGGTTCCTCCCTCAATTCCTCATTGACCGAGGGCCGGGGGGGTCACAGTTTTTCCCGGACATCGCCTAAGGCTTCTTGGGTTCTAAAGTGAAAATACGATTTGATTGGAAGGTTTGAGTTTGCTCATTTCTGAGTAAATTCCGTTTCTGCTTTGTTCTGTCTTTTGGTCACGTCTGCAGACTTCTTTGCATTTTATGAATATGAATCATCCATTGTCTGTCACAGTTCCTTTAAAAAATTTCTAATTTCTGATAATCGTGAATGAATGGGTGAAGAAAATGCAGTGTAAATATGAGCCCATATCATTCAGTCATAAACAAGAATGAAATTCTGTCACTGGCAGCATCGTATGATGCTGTAAACCCACGGCTTTTGAGTTTTAGTGAACATCAGAAACACTCAGAAGAGGACTGGTGAAAACGATGTAGCTGGACCCTGGTGTGCTGTTTCTAATTCAGAAGGTCTGGGCAGGGCTCTGGGAGGCTGATGCTGCCAGTCCGAGGACCACACTTTGAGAAGTCAGCTAGAGGCTGGTCAGTGGTACTTCCTTAAGAAAGCAGGGGCAAAAGAAAGAAACCATATCAGCTTTAAAAGACAGAATACTTGGTCTTCTACCTTGGTTGGGTTTGTGTGTATAAAATTCGACTTTTCCCCAGTTGGCAAACATAACAACTTTCATCACAAGAAAGCTAGAAAATACAGAAAACTATGAGAAAGGAAATTTTAAAAACCTGTGTCACATTAACAGTTATCTTGTGTTGTTCATGTTTACCTAGATGGGTTTACATAGAATTTTATGAAGCCCGACAGAACCAGACTAACGTCTTGCTTTGCAGTCAGATTTTATGTAGAGCATTTTCCTATGTCATGAAATATTTTCTATGACGTCAGTTTTAATAATTATGTAGTGGTCCATTCTTTAGATGTGTTATGACTGCTTAATTATTCCTCCATTTCCAGACAGAAAAGCTAAGAGAAGCACCTCAGAGGGGGAAAAGGGGCATGAGATATAATTGACTTTCTAATCACAAGCCAGACTTTAGGGTGTGGCTGACCTTAGGAACAAACAGGGAACAGGAAGGTGTCTACAAAACACAAGCTATGCCAGGCACGGTGGCTCACGCCTATAATCCCAGCACTTTGGTAGGCCGAGGTGAGAGGATTGCCTGAGCCTGTGGGTTCGAGACCAACCTGGCAACTTGGCGAGACCTCATCTCTACAACAAATCAAAAAATTAGCCCGCTATGGTGGTGCGAGCTAGTTCCAGCTACTTGGAAGGCTGAGGCGGAAGGATCACCTGAGCCCAGCAGGTTGAGGCTGCGGTGGCTGGGAGCGTGCCACTGCACTCCAGCCTGGGTGACAGAGCAAGACTTCAACTCAAAAAATTAAAAAATAAAAAAAAGCACAAGCTATGTTACAGACAGAGGATGGACATCCACGGTATGTATCAAGAAAGACAGACATCCAATATTAAAATGACTGATAAAATACAGAAGATGCTAGAACTTGCTATAGACAGGGGAATCCAAAAACAATAAGGAGGCATCATTCATTGCTCATGAGTTTGGCAAGAGAAGACAATGATATTCAGTGTGGACGATATAGAGGAAAACTAGACCTGTCCAGCATTGGGTGTACAAACTGGCAGAGACTTTTTCAAGAGAAATTTGTCATTATCTATAAATGTTTAAATTTGGCAAGGGTACTCTACTTTTACTTATTTTTTGAAAGATTATTAGCGTTTATTTTGTTAAATTATTCCCAGAGATTTTTTTTAAAGATGTGGGGTACAACTCAGGGTCAGGTATACAAATGTTCATTATACAGGTGCCCTTGTTGATGAGGTGTGCCCCCCCTTCCCCAGGCAGACTCCCACTACTGCCAATCCCACTTCCCCGCCCCGCTCCCAGAAGTTTCCCACTACTGCCAATCCTTTCCTTATACTATTATGATAGTTGTTCAGGTCTGCTTATGAATGAGAACATGTGATACTCAGTTCTTTGTTTCTGTGATAGATCACTCAGTGTTATCTGTGAAGTTCATAATTTTGTCCTTTCTATAACTGCATAATATTCCATCATGAATATGTGCCATCTTTTTTTTTTTAGCCAATCTTCTTTCAATGGACAGCACAGTCGGTTCCATGTTTTTGCTACTGTGAACAACACTACGATAAACATGCGTGTGCAGGGATCTTTTTCATAGAGTGATTTGAGTTCCTCTGGGTAGATTCCTAGTAAGGGAATTGTGGAGTCATATGGAGGGTCAATTTTTTAGATGTTTTAGGAATTGCCACACTGTTTTCCACCGAGGTTATATTGGTTTACACTCCCACTAACAGTGTAGAAGTCTTCCCTTTTCCCCGCATCCTCTTCAGCATCTGCTGTTTTATGAGTTATTGATGATGGCCATCCTGACTGGAGTTAGGTGGTATCTCAGTGTGGTTTTGATTTGCATTTCTTTGATGATTAGCGAGGCTGAACATTTCTTCATGTATCTGTTGGCTGCTCGTATGTCTTCTTTTGAGAACTGTCTATTCATATCTTTAGCCCACTTTGTAATGGAACTGTTTGTTTTTCTTTTCGGCCCATCTGAGTTCCTTATAGATCCTAGATGTTAGACCTTTGTCAGACATACAGTTGGCAAACATTTTTTCCCAGTCTGTGGATTGTCTCCCCATTCTTTTGGTGGTTTCTTTGGCTTTGCAGAAGGTTGTCAGTTTGATGAGGTCCCACTTGTCTATCGTACCTGTTATGGCATGGGCACTTGGGATTTTGATCAGGAATTGGTTGCCAGTTTCAACATAGTTTGAGATTTTACGGTTAGGTCTTTGATCCGTTTAGAATTGGTTTTTTTGTGTATGGTGATAGGGGTCCTGTTTCAATCTTCTGCATATGGTCAGCCAGTTTTCCAGCACCATTTACTGAATAGGTCCTCCTCTCCCCAGTGGATGGTGGTGAAGGCTTTGTCGAAGATGACTTGGTTGAGAAATTGAGGTTTTGCTTCTGGAATCTCTATCCTGTTCCATTGGTCTATATACCTGTTCTTGTACCACTATCAAGCTGTCTTGATTATTGAAGTTTTACAATAGAATTTAAAGTCTGGGAGTGTGATACCGCCTGCTTTTTTTTTTTTTTTCTTTTTTGCTGAGGATTTTTGGCAATTCATGGTTGTTTATGTTTCCATATGAATTCCTGTATTGTTTCCAGGTCTGAGAAGAATGTTGCTGGTAATTTAATGGGTGTTGCGTTAAATCTGTAGATTGCCTGGGGTAGGATGGACATCTTAACAATGTGATTCTTCCAACCCTTGAGCATGGAATATTTTTCCATTTGTTTGTGTCATCTTTGATTTCTTTGAGCAGTGTTTTGTAGTTTTTGTTATAAAGGTCTTTCACGTCTCTGGTTAGGGGATGCTAAGGTTTTTTTTGTGACTATTGAGAATGGGATTGTGTTTTTTATTTGGGTTTCTGTTTGTTTATTGTTGGTGTATAGAAATGAGCCTATCATTTGCACATTTATTTTATACCCTGAGACTTTGCCAAAGTCCTTTATCAGTGCAAGGAGGTTTTTGACAGATTCTCTTGGGTTTTCGAGGTATAGAATCAAGTCTCCTGCAAAGAGGGATAACTTAACTTCTTCTTTTCTTATTTGAACACCGCTGATCTCCTTCTCTTATCTGATTGCTCTAGCCAGGACTTCCAAAACCATGTTGAACAGGAGGGGTGAGAGTGGGCCTCCTTGTCTTGCTCCGGTTTTCAGAGGAAATGGTTCCGATTTCTGTCTGTTTAGCAGTATGCTGGCTGTGGTTTTCTCATAGATGGCTCTTATTAGTTTGAGGTATGTTCCATCTACGCCTAGATGTTCTAGGATTTTAATCAAGAAGGGATGTTGGATTTCATCTTTTTCCACATCTAATGATATAATCATGTGGTTTTTGTTTTGATATCTGTTAATGTATCTAATTACATTCATGGTCTTATGAAGGGCATTCTCCTTTAAACAATTATTTGTACAAAAAAAGTTATACCTGGGTACCAAGATGTGTACAGAAATGTTCCCAGCATCATTGCTTTTTTTGTTGTTTTACTTTATGATAAAGACGTAGGGTACAAGTCAGAACTGGGAACATAACTAATGTGTGTACAGGTGAGACGTGGCCACCAACTGGTCCTCACTTCCCCAATCTAGGATCAGCTGCCCTTTGTGTTGTTACATGCCTCCCCCCCCTCCCCTGGCAGTGTTAATTATTGACTGCCAATCCCTCCCTTGTGCTATTGTGATTAATGTTCAGGTCCCACTTAGGAGGGAGAACATGTGGTATTCAGCTCTTTGTTTCTGTGACAGCTTACTGAGAATGACTGTCTTCAATTTCATCCCATTTGCTGCGACATCCGTGATTTTGTTCTTCTGTTTATGGCTGCATAATATGACTCCATTGTGTATATATACACAACATTTTCTTTGTCCCGTCCACTTTCATTAGGCAGTAGAATTTTTGCTATTTCAAATAGTGCAGCCATAAAAGTGCATGTGCAGGTGTCTTTTCTGTAGAACAATTTGTGTTCCTCTGGGGAGATTCCCAGAAGGCGGATTGCTGGATCATATGGAAGGTCAATGTCTAGTGCCTTTAGATATCACCACACTATTTTCCATAGAGGTTGAACTAGTTTGCACTCCCACCAACAGTGTGGATGTGTACCCTTCTCTCCGCAACCACACAGGCATCTGTTTGTTTGTTTTTTAATTTTATGTGTTTATTTTGAGGTG